AGGGCCCTTAGAACACAGAATGTCAGAGCTGGGAGGGCCCTTAGAACACAGAATGTCAGAGCTGGGAGGGACCTTAGAACACAGGATATCAGAGCTGGGAGGGCCCTTAGAACACAGGATGTCAGAGCTGGCAGGGCCCTTAGAACACAGGATGTCAGAGCTGGGATGGCCCTTAGGATGTAGAATGTAATAACTTAGACCTGGATGAGTCAATCAGGGCTGAGCTCTCCGGACCTGTCCCTCCAGGGCAGCAGGGCGTGGGTTGGGCCAACTCAGGTAGCTTCAGTACGGGTGACGGAAGGAGCTGTAGTCCAGGCCTAAAGACCTGGATCTCATTCTGGCTCCCTCTGTCCCTCTCTGCCTATGGCCTTCAGGGACTTTACGCTATACCCAAATATGCATCCCTGCAAAGAAAGGAAGATCCCTTGGTGGAGGTCGAATCGCCCTCAGAAATAGACTCCCAGTCACCTTTCACAAACGATGCCTTTCGTGTGAGAGGAAGGGGCCATTCTGGGAGCACGCCCCGCGTGAGGCCTCAGCTCCTGAGGGCCCACTCACTACTTCAGGAGACGAGCCAAGGACAGATAGAGAAAAGGCAGCAAAGTCTGTTTGTTCAGGTGTTGAACATATTAGGAGTGAAAGGTTTATTTATTTACTAGCTATAACTTAGGTGATGGTTTTATAAGTCATATAAAATAACCAGATCAGAGGAAAGTAAGGAAATTTTAAAAAAAATACACACATACACAAACACACACACACAAATAGTCTACGTTCCGAGGACTCTTGGAACTTCCTCTGACATCCTCTGAATTTCCAAGATCATGATCTGTGTTTATATTCTAGGTTCTCAGGGTCCTTCAAGCTCCGATTTTCCATCTTCTACCTTTCTAGAATATCTGGACTCATTCACCAACAAAAACGATGTTCTGGAGTCTTTCTCAGGTCTCACATTTTATGTTCTAATATCTTATGTTCTAAGTTCCCTCCTAATGCTGTCATTCTATGTTCTAAAGTCTAGAATATTCTTGAAGGAAGTGTCAAGTTTGTGTCTTTGTATTCTCAGAGCTGTGCACAGTGCCTGACCTACTTGAGAAGGAGTACTTGAGGAGGTACTTGAGAAAGGTTTCTTGAGTTGAATTGAATCTTACCTTTTGGCTCTGACATTCCATGTTCTAAAGTCTCTTCTACCTCTGATATGCTATGTTCTAAACTCCCTCCCAGCTCTGACATTCTGTGCTCTAAGGGCACACCTAGCTCTGACATCCTGTGTTCTAAGGCCCCTCCCAGCTCTGACATCTTGTGTTCTAAGGGCCCTCCCAGCTCTGACATCCTGTGTTCTAAGGGCCCTCCCAGCTTTGAAGCTCACAGGGTCCTAACTCCAGTTCTAAATTGGAAAAGACATCAAACTTTACCGAATTCAACTATCTCATTTTACAAAGGAAGAACCCAAGTCTGAGGCAGGGCAGGTGATTTTCCCACTGTCACACAGGCATTAAGAAACAAGCCCTCTCCCTTCCACCCCAGGCACTGAGATAGTATTTGTAAAGTGCTTAGCATAGTGCCTGGCACACAGCAGGCACTACATCAATGCTTAGTCCCTTCTCTTCCCTTTCTGTCTCAGCCAGGGCTGCCCCCAGTCATCCCAGGCAGTTAGCCCTCTGTCTCCAAGGCTCTGGCGGAAAGAGAAGCCCCCTTTGAGCCTGGCTTCCCTGTTCTAATGTCTAATCGGAATACTGCCAGCTCTTGCTTGGAACAGTATAGCTATTCCAGGGGATTTCATCGGAGCAAGCAGGGGAGGGTTCACAGGCATCCCTTCCCCTCTAGTGCCCTCGATTCCCTGGGGGAATAATCCAAGTTGGCAGCGGCTCAGTGCGGCCTGCCCAGGATCAGCACGGCCTCCCCAGGATCAGCACGGCCCAGTATCTCTGGCAGGCCTGCCAGGACGGCATGCACAGCAGAAAGCACCGTGACCCTGGAGTTGGGAGACCTGAGTTCCTATCTTGGCTTGGACAGCCTGTCTAGATGAGTAACCTGGGGCAAGTGACTCAGTTCCATACCTTTACCAACTGTCTTACTTAGGGATGAGGAAAAAGCATCGTGAACCTTTCATTCATCCCCTGCCATTTCTGGTTCTCCTCTCTTTCCCCACTACTCCCCAATCCATCCTTCCCACCTCCTGCTCAAGCGCTACTTCTAATGCCCTAAGATCCTATCTCTTTCCTGTTCAAAAATTCTGTGTGGCTCCCCACGGCCTCCAAGGCCCCATGCACAGTCTGGCTCTCATTTGCCTGCCCAAGCTTATCTTCCCTTTAGGTCTTCTGCCTTCCAGGGAATCTGTACCCTCCCCTGCCCCTAGTGCTCACCGTATCTATGCCTAGCTCTGCCCATGCTGCTCCCCATACCTGGAATGTTCTCTCCCTCTTCTGAAGTCCACTTTTGGGTATGGCCTCCAGAAACCAGTCATCTTATTTTATAATGCCCCCCACTACCCTGGAAATATTTCTATATACTTCTGTATATACATATTCTTCTTTGTTAGAATATGTTTGTTTTGTTGTTTATTCATTTCAGTCCTGTCCGACTCTTTGTGACCCCATTTGGGGTTTTCTTGGCAGAGACACTGCAGTGGTTTGCCATTTCCTTCTCCAGCTCATTTAACACATGAGGAAACTGAGGCAAACAGGATTAAGTGACTTGTCCAGGGTCACACAGCTAGGAAGTGTCTGAGGCCAGATCTGAACTTGGGAAGATGCATCTTCCTGACTCCAGGCCTGGCGCTCTATCTACTGTGCCACCTGGTTGCCCCCGTCCTTGAGGGCAGGGCAAAAGTATCTATTAAACTCTTACTAAATCCCAGGAACTAAGTTGTGAGGATAAAAGTAAAGGTGAAAACACATCCTCGCCCTCGTGAAGCTTACATTCAAACAGAAGAGACAACATACAGGCACTGCTGTCAATCTATTCCAAGCAGGATTGGCTATCACTCTGCCGGAGTGGGGGCCCTTCCCTGCTTCCCCCCTCTCCCGGGCACTGCCCCTCTACCTTGTGCAGTAGCCTGAGTGCTGAAGTGAGTGGAGGTGGCCAGGGAGCCCCGGGGACTAGGGGTTGTTGGCGTCACTCGCATTCGAAGCCGGTCCAGGTCACCGAATCGATCAGGAAAGGCCTTTGGCTGGTCTTCCATTTTCTGCCTGTGCCCTTAGAGGAGGGAGGAAGCGTCTGTCAGCATCCCTTTCGAGGAGTTTACCTTGTTGGTGTCCATCCCCACCTCATCTCTTGCCTCTACTTACCCGGGGAAGGAAAGATTTCACAGTCTCCCCCGTGACCCTGCCAGGAAGGGTTTCCTCGGGATCTCACTGAAAAGTCTCAGCCTGGGTCTCTCATGATGGAGAGCCAGGATGACCGAATGGAAGCAGCACTGGATTTGGCATCTGAGAACATGAGCCTGAACCCCAACTTTGCTACTGTATGACCTTGGCCAAGTTATTTCACCCTTCTAGGCCTCAGTCTCCTCCTCTGTAAACTGAGGGGGCTGGATGGGATGAAGACTTTTTTCTGCTCTAAGTCCCATACTCTGAAACATAAGCAAAACCTTGGGAGGCCTTGGTGGCTGCTACCAGCTCCCTAAAAGATGATGAGAATAATTCAATTCAGTCAACATTTATTAAGCAACCCTTCTCTACTCCAGGCACTGAGAATACAAAGACAAAAGCAAAACAATGCTAGCCTTCAAGAAGTTTATGTTTTATGGGGTGTGTGTGTGTGAGGGAGAATACAATACACACATACACACAAGTAGATACATAGTACATACAAAGTAACTTCAAGAGGGAGAAAATGATAATAACTGGTGGGGGAGGAGTAGAGGGAGGGAAATAAGGGAAAACTTCACTTAGGAGACAGTTTTAAGATTTGCAAAGTGCTTTCCAGACACCTTTGTGAGGCAGGAGATACAGATCTCAATTTCCCTTTTACACAGAAGGAAACTGAAGCTAACTTTCCAGACAGGTGGGAAGTAGCACAGCTGAGATTTGAACCCAGGTCTCAATTTCCACTTCACCATTTAGCTCCTTCCATGGAAACTTATGCACCTGCAGTTCCGCCCCTGGCATCACACAACTGGGAGGGTCATTGCAGGAAGCTTTTAAAGATTGAGGAGATCTTAGCAATCACCTGGTTCAATCTCTTCATTTTACAGATGAGGGAAGAGAGGGTTACACAGGTGCTTATCAGCAGGGCCAGGGCACAAACCCAGGTTCTCTGATTTCCAATCCAGGGCTCTTTCCACAGCACGATCCCACATCCCTTTCTTGGGAGATTATCTGAGTCCAACCCCTTTATGGTAGAGGTGAGGGACCTGGTGTCCAAAGAGGGGAAGGGTCTTGGCCAAAGCCATGTGGTAGTATTGGGGGCAGAGCCAAGGCCAGAACCCAAACGGACCAGCCTTCCTTTCCTCTGGTGCTTGGTTTGGCATTTAAGGCCATTTGTAACCTGGCCCCTTACTAACTTTCCAGTTTTCTTATACCCTCTTCCCCTCCACGGTCCCCAAGATCCAGTGACTTGGGCTTCCTGGCTGTTCCATGAATAAGACACTCCATCTCTCAGCTCCAGGCATTTTCTTGGGCTATTCCCCATGCCTGGACTGCTCTCCCTCATCTCCACCTCCCTGCTTCCCTGGCCTCCACCAAGTCCCAGCTAAAGTCTCACCTCCTACAAGGAGCCTTTCCCAAATCTCCTTAATACAAGTGCCTTCCCTCTACTGACTATCTCCAATTTAATCCTATGGACATCTTGCTGGTACATAGTTTGGTTTGTATTTTGTCTCCCTTCATTAGACTGTAAGCTCCCTGAGGGCAGGGACTGTGTTTTCACCTTTTTTTGGGGGGGGGTGCTCTCTAGCACTTAGAACAGTAGCTGGCACATAGTAAGCACTTGATAATTGCTTGTTGACTTGGTTTGTTCTGTCCTACGTGTGCCGTGGCAGCCAAGAAGAGGGAATGAGATTTGGAGCCCTATTAGAAGAAGTAGATTATCTGGGGCTAGAAAGGGCTGCCTTTCCGCATGGTCAGACAACACGGAGAGATCATTTGGGGAAGAGGGATGCCAAGCTGAAGTCCATCCCAAGAATGGCGAAAGGACTGGGGACCATGTCATATGAGGAGCAATTCAAGGACATAAGTCGGTCAGCCAGTAGGCATTTATTAAGAGCCTACTATGTGTCAGGCACTGTGCTAAGTGCAGGGGATACAAAAAGAGACTAATGACTGTTCCTGTCCTCAAGGAGCTCACAGTCTAATGGGAGAGGAGAGGGCTGCGGTGACCCAGTTGCTGTCTTCATACATCTGAAGGGGTACCATGTGGAAAATGAAATCAGTGGCCCCTGAGATGACAGCCTGGACTCCAGCATTGTGACAAGTGGTGACAGAGGCTGCTAGGGCTGCCATGCTGAGTTGGAGTGAGGGACTGTCTGCCCCCAAGAGTATCCTGGAGAGTCCAAAGACCCTCTGCCATTGTGTTGAACCAGTGGCAGAGAGGAAAATAGAAGGGGGGAAGGGGAAGCAATAGATGGGCCCCCAAGGCCCCTAGAAAGGGGGTCTGCACTCAGAAGCTCTAAGTGCTCAACAAGACTTGCTCAAAACACTATCTGAGTCATCAGTCCTTCCCTGGGGCCTCATGTTTCTCAAATGGAATATTAAACACTGATTAATCATCTATTTAGAAAGGCAGTGTGGTGTAGGAGTTACACTATGGTATGGTAGAAAGACTGCCAGACTTGGGAGTCATGGGCCTGGAGGAAGAACACCTATTCTGTCCGTGACTACTTGTGGGTGCTGAGGCACGTCACCTAACCCCTCTGGGCTTCAGTTTCCTCATCTATAAAATAAGAGACGTTGGACTAGAGAACTCTGAGCTCCCTTTCAGCTCACAGCCTATTCCAGAGTACTAGACTGGAGGCAGGAAAAGTTAGATTCAAATGCTGCCTCAGAGACTTTGGGAAAATAACCTAAGTCTCAGCTTCTTCATCTGTAAAATGGGGGAATAATAGCACCCATCCCACAGGGATGACGTGAGTTTCAAATGATATTGTACTTGGTAAACCTTAAGGCCCTATGTAAATGTGAGTTGCTACCACCACCTACCACCACCATCAGCCACTACCACCACTATTTTCTACCACCACCATCAGCTACTATCACCACTATCCACCACCCCCACCTACCATCATCCACAACCACTATTTTCTACTACCACCATCAGCCACTACCACCACCATCTACCAGCACTATTTTCTACCACCACCACCACCATCCACCCCCACCATCACTATTTTCAACCACCACCATCAGCCCTTGCTACTATCATCTACCACTACCACTAACCACCACTCTCCCCACCTTCTATTCTTACCTATTGCTCTCACTACCATCCACTTCCACCCACCTCTACCACCATTCACCACCATCACTATCTACCACCACCGTTATCACTGCCATAACCACTTATACTACCACCATCTACCACCATCACCTCCACCATCTATCCCTACTATCACTACCACCACTACCACTAAATGCCAGGCGCTGTGCTAGGACCCAGGGATACAAATATAAAATGAGAAATATTCCTTGACCTCAAAGAGCTTAATGCTCTATTGAGGGGAACATAATGTGCATAGGTGAGTAAAAATACAATGCCATCTCCAAAGGGAGAGGCCACTAACTGGGGGAGATCAGGAAGGGCTTTGAGCAGATGGCCCCTGAGCTGATGTCGTGCTCTCCTCATTGCCTAATCACACAGCGTGAACAGCAACCACTCTGGAATCAGAAAACTGGAGTTCAAATCTCACCTCTGATGTTTATTACTTCTGCGGCCCAATCTGCTAACAGCCCCAGGGAATTCTCTAAGACTATAAACTGCAGAATAGTTGCCAATATACTTTGGGGCTTTTTTCACTTTTTTTTTCTTTCAGTTTTTATAAGAGCCTTTATAAGATGCTTTGGAGGAGGAAGTTTCTTCAACAAGAATTCCCTCCACAGAGGATTCTTAACCTGGAGTCTATAGATTAAAAAAAAAATACACATTTTGATAACTGTGTTTCAATATAATTGATTTTTTCATGATCCTGGGGATTTTGTTTTATGCATTTTAAAACATTTTGAGAAGGATTTCAGAGGTTTCACCAGACTTCCCAAGGAGCGCCCAACACAGAAAAGGTTACTAACACCTGCATACCAATGAACACCTAGGTGTGACCCCCAAATTAGGAATGTAAACAAAATAAACATGAAAACCAAAATCAAGCCTGAATTCCTTGGCCACAACCAGCCTTCTCCTGCCTCCCTGCTTGCAGCTCCTCATGCCTGGAATGCTATCCCTTGCATCCTAGACTGGCTTGAGAGCCAAACTCAGCTGTCACTCTCTCCAGGACGTTTGTCCAGATTTCCTGACAATCCTAACCTTCATTTGTGGGCCTTGGAGAACCCTGCACTCTCTGATGCATTTGGACATGTGTCAGAACTCTAATCCTGTCTGTCTGTGGCCCCCCCTCTCGCGCCCCCCCCCCCCCCCCCCCCCCCCCCCGCCAGAGCCTAAGAGCTCCACAGAAGGCAGAATGACCCCTTATCGTCTTATGTAAACTGTGTTTCTCATGCCTGGGGCCAAGCATGTCTGGCCAATGTGAAAAGCTTAATAAACACTTCTTGAATAAATAGCAATTGGAAATGGCACTGTCAGGAGACACCCAAGTCTCTGGGTGACCTCAGTCTTCTCAGCTATAACATGTGGGAGGGGTGGGAGGGAGGGAGACACTCTCAGGATGTTACTAACAATGACCAACACTGACAGAGGCTCAAGGTTTGCAAAGTGCTTTTATGTACATTATATAACAGAACAAGAAGGGACATTAGTGATCATCTCGTCTTACTCCTCTCATTTTATGGAGGAGAAAACTGAGGTACAGAGAGATGAGATAGACTGCAACCTAGAGATGTAGTGGGAAAGGGCACTGTCTCTGGATTCAAAGGGCCTTAGTTCAAATCTCACCTCTGACAGGTGTGACTTTAGGCAAATCACTTAAGCTCCCTGGGCCTCAGTTGCCTCAACTATAGAGGGGGAGGGGGTTGGCCTCTGAGGTCCCTTCCCACCCTAAATTTATAATGTGACCAAACTAGGATTCAAATCTGTGGAAAGAATGTTGG